GACGCCCTGGAGCCCTTCTTGGGGCTTCCTTGGGAGTTTTGGGAGACTCGTGAGCCCTTCCACGGAGTCCTCGGGGGGCCTCGTGGGGGACTTCTTTGGAAGCTCCGTGGCCATTTGGATCTCCGGGTGGTGGCTCAGCGTTTCAGCGTGCGCCCGCATCTTCTTTATTCATGCTTGCCTTCCCTGCGCAGAGAGATGCTTATTAACCCCTCAGTGGCAGGTCGGCTGTCCGGTTGCGTGTGTACCGCGTGCCATGCCGTCTGGTCCCAGTTGGTATTCGCTATGCACTACACCTGCGTCTCCCGTACATGTTTCCATCGTGTTCCGCGGTGCTCGGAAGGCCTTTCACTGAGTGAGCTTGCCAGCATGTTTCGTGGAACGGCTTGTTTTCTTCGACCTGGGTTCGACGCCGCCGCACAACCACTGCGTCTTTCTACCCCCCTAACCCGCATCCGTGAGCCCCAGACTTCCAACACCACGGATTGTTCACAACGTGGACCCCCGGTGTTCTGAACCGCTTCTCTCGGACCGGTTTTTCACCCCGAGGCGTTGTTTTGACCGTCCCAGGGCCTGGCGAGAGCCCCCGGAGATCGAGCAGCTGCACCAAAAGCACCCCTCCGCCGTTATTGCGAAGGCCTTACGGCCATTGTCGCCTACCTTACAGACGGAGACGACGAGCAGGACAAGGACGTTGAGGAGCAGGAGGAGGAGGAGGAGGAGGAAGAGGAGGAGAAGGGGAACAGGAGAAGGATAAAGAAGAGGAGGAACATGAGAAAGAGGAGGAGGAGGAGGAGGAGGAGGAGGAGGAAGAGGAGGAGGAGGAGGAGGAGAGGGGGCCAAAAGCAACCCTCCCGCCGTTATGTGTTCTCACGGCGCGATGCGGTTTGGGCATCCCGCAGCCGTCATCCTCCGTGGCGACGCACGGCGATCGAGCGGCGAGGTCCCCGCGCGGGGGCGGCCAGGAGGCGAACGGGCAGCTGGTGTGCACCCTCTGCAGCTCCACGGCAGGCCAGAGACGGCCGTTGCGCTCGCGAGGGGGTGGGGGAGGGAAGGAGGAGGCCCAGACCCTCTCGGGTCACGAAAAACTCACGACGAAAGGTTTGTTTTCGCTATTTGTGGCCTCCAGGGGCCCTCACCAGGGCTCAAGACCGTCAGCGAACGATTCCAGAAGAAGAAACTCGTCCCGGGAAGGGGTCAAGACTTCTAGGCAGCCGCGTTGCGCAGAAAAACACGTCGTTGGATGTGTGGAGGGGGAGGAAATTTGCCTTTGGGTCGCTATGGGGACCTCTCGGTCCCAGCTTGAGATCTTTCTGGAGCCTTATTTCGGGCCGGTTAGGCTCCCTTGCCGCTCGAACTGCACTCTGGGCCTCCGCGTGCTGCTTTGGGCGGTCTTGGGGCAGTCAGGGGAGGAATGAAGAGGAGGGGGGGCGGCAAGCGAGGGGCGCCCGCGTCCTATCTGATGTCGTACCCCTCCCTCCTACCCCTTCCCATGGCGTAGATCTCCTTTCCAAGCTGGCCGAGAACACGGAAACGGAGCCAACGATGAGAGCGCATGTTCGTGGCGGGGAGGCGAGGCGACGCTTTGCTGGCCAATTGGCGCCGTCGGTCGAATTCACAACAGGGCCGGCAGTGGGCGGATTCGTGGCCGTTGCCCACAAGTTGAAGTCATGGAGGCCTTTGTCCCTCGTGCTCGTGAGCTCGTCGCGACCTGTGGCGCAGCTGAGTGCGGGTGCGACAGGAGGGGGACAGGGGGGAGGCGGGGGAGAACGAGGGGGCGGGCTATGCGTGGGGGACGGGCGAGGGGCAGAAGGATGGGGAGGACGGCGAGGGCCAGAGTAGACCCAGGTTGCCTCGACTACGCTGCATCACGCCCTCCCGTCCGAAGTCCAGTCCTGCCCCCTTCCCCCTTCTCTGCGAGGCGCGCCTCGGCGCGGCCTTGGAAGCGATAGCCTCGCCCAAATGCGCTCCCCCCTGCCTCCAGTCAGGCGGTCGCAAGCATGGATCAAGGGGGCGTGGATTAGCGACGGGTCCTCTTGCCTTTTAGGAATCGCGGATTCCCGCCACCGAGCGAGGCGGCAATGGCCGCAGTTTGGGGAGGGCACCTCCCCCGATACGTGGTTTTGGCGACCGCGCGCCAAGTCCGTGGATCGCTAATCCATCTTTGCGCGCCCCCGATCCCTGCACATGTCAGGAGCGTGTGAGAGGAACCGTGCGCGGCACTGAGGCGCGAGGCCCATGATAGAAGACTACCCGCCCTGCACCCGTGCCGATGTTGACAATCACCCGCCAGCCACCCATCCACGTAGTTTTGTTGGACACCTCCAGACTCGCGGAGCAGTCTAGTGAGGAAGCCTCTTGCGGAACGCTTGGCCCGCCTTCGGACGAGAGCTGCAGGAGGAGCGAGGAGATACTAGGGAGGGGGGAGAGGGAGAGACTGGGAGATCTCGTCATGATGTGGCGCGGGGGCGGGGCGGGAGAAGGAAGAGATAGAAAAGGCGAAGGACGAGGGCGAGGAGGAGGAGGAGGACGAGGACGAGGAGGATGAGGAGGACGCGCCTGAGAGGGTCTCGCATTGTTGAGAGGCTCGCCCGCGCGCTTCCTCGAGCGAGAAGAGGACGGGGGGGGGGGGGCAGGGAGGGAGGGCGAGGGAACCCACCCCAAAACACTGCGAGGAGCAGTGGGCGGAGCGGCGAGCGGCAGCGCGCAGCAGGCACGCTGCTGATGATGCAGACGCACCTGGGCGGCGACAAGCACGCCCGGAAGCGCCGAGGGGGGCCTGGGCCCGGGCGTCGGGGCAGAGCCATGGCGGCCATGGCTCGTGGAAGTCCGTCTCGGTCGTCGGGGAGGCAGCTTCCTGATCATCGGTCTCGGTCTCGGTCGTCGCTCTCGGTCATGCAGCTTCCTGATCATCGGTCTCGGGGATGCAGCTCCCTGATCATCGATCATGCGTCCGTCTCGGTCTCGGTCTCGGTCGTCGCTTTTCGTCCTCAGCACTCTGATCATCATGCCCACCCGCTGTCCACCTGGGAGCCCAAGAGGCACAGGGGGGACATCTGCCCCCAATCGCCCATGCACCGCCCATCGGGGCTCGGTTGGGTGTGCCATCCTGCCCAGGAATGTACGATATCGCAATCGAGGGCCTGTCGCTGATCTGCAGGCGATGCATCGCCAATCCCCAGTCACTGTTCCCCCCCCCCTGGAGCAAGCCCCCCCGAGTTGAGGGGAAGAGAGGGAGAGAGAGAGAGAGAGAGAGAAAGATAGAGAGAGATAGAAATAAAGAGAGAAAAGCCAACTAGAGAGAGAGAGAGAGAGAGAGTGAGAGCGAGATATAGAGAGAGATCGGGAGAGAGAAAGAGAGAGAGAGAGAGAGATTGAAGAACTGAAAAATGAGGAGTCAGAGTGAGAGAGAGAGAGAACATGAGATATGGCGGGAGACATGCACACATCAGTATACGCATGGGGAGTGGGAGAGGGAGAGGGACATATGTGTATACATACATACATACACAGGGAACAGAGAGAATGAGATGGAGATAGAGAGAGAGAGAGAGGAAGAGAGTGAGAGAGAGAGAGAGAGATGGCAACAACAACAGCCATATCAACAACAATCACGACACCAACAACAGAAACACCAACAACAATCATGTTAGAAACGGTTCGTTCTAACCTGCCCGTGTGCCATTCAACACGTATATTCCAAACCCTCGATGCCCGCCCTCTTCGTCTTCGATCGTACACCACTTGGGGCGATACCTTTCTTGCCTGCAACGTGTCTTTTGTGCAGCCCCTGAGGCAGAGGCAGAGAAGACGGACGGACGGACGGGGCAAGGGGGAGGCAGGAGGATGGAGAACGAGAGAGAGTAGCAGGAGGGGGGCTAGGAGCAGGAAAGACGTGGCAGAACCAGACGGGCAGATCGGGCGGGTAGACCCTATCAGGCGGGTCGGGAAGGCGAGTCCAGGCGGCCACGGTCGAGCAGGCGGGTTGAGCAAGCAGTCGTCCTGCATGAATCGCGAGGACGTCTCGAGAGATAGCGCGATTCCAAAAGTATTCTTGAGGAAACCTATCGCGAGAGCGTGATTCCTGAGTGTCGAGGGCGCGGCATCCAAGTAAATGGCCAGGCGGTCCCACGCGAGAGCGAGATTCCTGCATACACTGTCAGGATGTCCCGTGCGAGAGCGCGATTTGGAAATACATGGTGAGGACGTATCATGCGGGAGCACGTGTTGTTGTAACTCGGGGGCCCGGGGCCCAGTTGGGTGACACCCCATCTTCCCTTGTAAAAACAAGGTGCGAGCCCCGGGAAACAACATCATTTTAATTGAAACATACAGTTGTTACCAGGGATGGGTGATCACATCATGTAGTTTTTAGGCATGAAGGTTCAATCAGTTTAAGACTGTTCGGTCTTATCTGCTCGCGTGCCAGTCAACACGTATATCCCAAACCTCCGATGCCCGCCATCATCGCCTTAGGGGCATACATGTTACACCTGCAACGGACATTTCGTGCAGCCCCTAAGTCAGGGGCGGAGAGGACGGACGAAAGGAAGGGACAAGGGGGAGGGAGGAGGATGGAGCACGAAAGAGAGAGGAGCAGGAGGGGGGTTAGGAGCAGAAAGCACGTGGCAGAACCAAGCGGGCAGACCGGGCGGGTAGACCCTAACGGGCGCGTCGGGAAGGCGGGCTGAGGCGGCCAGGTCGAGCAGGCGTGTTTCTGAAGCGTGCGTCTTCCATGAATCGCGAGCAAGTCTCGAACGAGAACGCGATTTCCCAAAGAAACCTAATCCTACAGCGAGAGCGTGATTCCTGAGTGTCGAGGGCGCGGCGGCTGAATACATTCTGGGGAAGCCCCAAGCGAAAGCGAGATTCCTACATACATTGTGAGGGAGTTTCGCGCGAGAACGCGATTTGGGAATACATGGTGTGGGCGCGCTATGCGGGAACACTTGTTGTTGTAAACAATTGTGCACAACTTGGCGACACCTCGTATTCCTTGCGATAGAAAAAAGGGTGCGAGCCCCGGGAGAAGCACCTTGATTGAAGAATCCAATTTTTACAAGAGGGGGGTCAACTCTCCTTGCTCTTCGGAAGCGAGTATTCACCACCAACTAAAACCACAACGCGCAGAGGAAGGAACGGCAGAGTGAGGTGACACATCCATCGTTGGGGATGGATGGGGGACGAGGGAGTAAACGCGGGAAAGGGGGGGGCGGAGAGAGGGGGGGACGGGGAATAAGGAAGGGAGGAAAGAAGGGGGAGGATGGAGAGACGGGGGCGAGGAGGGAGAAGGATGAGGAGAAGGATGAGGAGAAGGACGACGACGACGACGACGACGGCGACGGCGACGACGACGACGACGACGACGGCGACGGCGACGGCGACGGCGACAGCGACGGCGACAACGACGACGACGTCGACGACGACGCAGCGGGGAGCGGCTTCGCCAGCGGGCAGGCGCGGGCCAGGTTGCCCCACGGAGGGGGGCGACGGCCAGGTGCCGCGGCATGGGCCGGGAGGAAGTCGTCTTCATCAAGGAGCGCTCCAGGTTGGAGGCGCGTCGGGGAGGAGCGGGGCGGGGAGCGGGGAGGAGGAGGCGGGGGGGGGTGAAGTGGGAGGAGAGGGGGGGGAGGAGGGGGGGGAGGAGAACGAGGAGGACGAGGAGGAGGAGGAGGAGGAGGAGGAGGAGGAGGAGGAGGAGGATAAGGAGGAGAAGGAGGAGGAGGACGCGAAGGAGGAGAGGAGGAGGAAGAGACGGACAGGAGGAGGAGGAGGAGGAGGAGAGAAAAAGGTGGATGATGATGAGGAGGAGGAGGAGGAAGATGAGGTGGTGGAGGAATAGGAGTAGGGGCAGAAGTGGATGAGGTGGTGGAGGAGGAGGAGGAGGGGGGATGGGGGAGGAGGAGGAGGAGGGGGAGGAGGAGCAGAGCAGGGCAGGAGCAGGAGGAGGATGTGAGATGATGAAGGACAGAGGAGGGGAAGGAAGAGGCGAAGAAGGACGAGGAGGAGGAGGAGGAGGATGGAGGAGGAGGAGGAGGAGGAGGATAATGAGAAGGAGGAGGAGGAGGAGGAGAAGGAAGGAGGAGGAGGAGGAGGAGGGGGAGGAGGAGGAGGAGGAGGGAGGAGGAGGAGGAGGGGGAGGAAGAGGAGCAGGAGCAGAAGCAGGAGCAGGAGCAGGAGCACGAGCGGAAAAAAAAGGAGGAGGAGGAAGCGGAGCAGCGGCGAGAAGTTCGAAGAGGTGGCGGATGATGATGATGATGATGCTGATGATGATGATGATGATGATGATGCTGATGATGATGATGATGATGATGATGATGATGATGATGATGATGATGATGATGATGATGATGATGATGATGATGATGGATGGTGCTGATGATGCTATGATGATGGTGCTGATGATGGTGAGGAGGAGGAGGAGGGGGAGGATCAGGAGGAGGAGGAGCAGGAGGAGGAAGAGGAGGAGGGGAAGCTGGAGGATTCGGAGAAGGAGGAGGAGGGGGAGGAGGCCGGTGCGGACGTGTAATGGGCTGGAAAAGGTGGGCGGGGAAGGTGTGGTGTTTGTCTCAGTTGGAGTTTGCCGGATCTGCTTGTAAAGATGAGTCCTGTTTGGTTGTAAAGATGTCGCGGAAAGGAGGTGGAGAAGGATGAGGAGGAGAAGAAGGTGGAGGAGGAGAAGAAGGAAGAGGAGGATGAGGATGAGGAGGAGGGAGAGGGAGAGGGAGAGGGGGAGGGCAAGACGGACGGTGGAGGGATCCATGAGGGGGGAGGGAGTTGTGGGAGGAGGAAGAGGAAGAGGGGAAGCAAGGACGTTGAACTTGAAGCTCAAAACTCGATGACCAGCGCAAGTGCTCAACAGGAAGCTGTTGATGGGGGAGAGCAAGTGATGGATGAGGAACCAGGGGGAGGATGAAGAGGGGGACGGAAGGCGAGAGGGAAGGGAACGGGGATAATTAGGCAGATGGTCAAGAGATTGGAGGAGGAGGGTGGAGAAGGGAAGGGTAGGAGGGAGGAGGAGGCTGGAGGAGAGGGGGGAAGGAGGATGCAGGGGAGGAGGATGAGGGTTGAGAAACGACAAGGAGGAAGAGCAGGGTAGAGAGAGGAGAAGAGAACGGAAACGGGGGGAGGGGAGGGGACGGAAGGAGGATGAGGAGCAGGTGGTGGAGGACGGACACACTGCGACGAGCACGGACGACGAGGCGCGCTCGCTTGCACAGCAGCAGGATGCAATGGAGCAATAGATCCATTTACGCAGGCAGCTCATCAGGATAAAGAGCAGGCGGAGACATGATCATCCACCCTCCGTCCTCACCCATCCTCCTCTTGCCCTTTTTTCCCCTCCCCCCTCGCCATCCTCATCTTCAATCCCATCTCACCCCCCACCATCCTTCTCGTCAGATACTCTTCCGCCTGTCTGCGTTGAACGGATGGGTGGTGGGCAGACGGGCTTCCCCGTTTCCGCCGCTCCGCACTGCCCCTTCATGCGTCTTCGTCTGGGCCACCCGCGTGCGAAGCCGTCGAGCCACAGCGCTGATCCGCAACAGCCTGTGCCCCGTGCTTGTCAATGTGGGCTGCACGGTACGGATGGCAGGTGCACAGAGGAAGGGGTCGTGATTGCCCATCGATGGCACGCACCCTTAATGCTGTGTGACTGCTACGCGCTCTCGGTCGGCTTCGCCCGCTCGTCATCATCATCATCATCATCACCAGCATCAGCATCATCACCACCAGCATAATCAGCATCATCATCATCATCATCATCATCATCATCATCATCATCATCATCATCATCTTCATCATAAACATCACCATCCGCACCATCAGCATCATCATCATCATCATCATCATCATCATCGTCATCATCATCATTGTCATCATCGCCATCATCATTGTTATCACCATCGTCATCATCGTCATCATCGTCATCATCAGCAATCTCACCATCACCATCACCATCACCATACCGTCTTCATACCACTTTCAGCGCCCTTCGGGTGCAGGACAAGTGGGGGCCCGAGTGTATCATTGCCCTCCTCTTCGCCCGCCCGTGCTATCGCCAAGAAGAAGAGAGCTGTGAGGGCGGCTCTCACCACTGGGTAACCGGCGGCTCTTACCATCACCATCATCATCACCATCATCATTCGTCCGCCTTTCTGTCCCCGTCCTCGCCAAGCCCTCGCAGGGAACTCCCCTATCTGCATCCTCCTCAGGTCTGCCTGTGTCTTCTGCGCCGAGCCATATCATTCGCACGGAAGTGGTTATGTACACATACTGTCAGGAACATTTTCTTAGCCTGTCGCGCCGCCGGCTCTGGTTCACCACGCTCAGGCGCGGCACGATAAGCACGGCCAAGTCCTCAGGTATCAGCGTTTCGGGTTCCCCCTTTCTGTCGCACGAATCCTTTCGACACGCTGTCAGCGTATCAGGCGCAGCGTGTCGCATCCGCCGCTGCCACGACCTACTCAGCAACCGTTCCTGACCTCATACTTCTTCATTCGCGTAGAGACGTATGTGTATACACCTGTGCACATATACAATTGCGTATGCATGTACCTACATGCATGCATGCATGTATGCGTGTACACATGGCTACACATATGTATGTACATGTGCGTGCATGTACCTATGTACGTACACATGTTTGTATGTATGCATGTATGAATGTATGTATGTGCGTACGTGTGTGTATGTGTGTAATCATGCATGTATGTATGTATGTCTGCGTGTACGTATGTGTTTAGCTGTGTATGTGCACATGTCTCATACACCTGGAGGCATCGGTATAGAGTGGTGTATGTATGTGTGGATGCATGTATGTGTGTATGTATGCATGCATGTGTGTATGCATAGATGTACTTATGTATGTGTATGTATATATGCATGTACGTCAATGCGTGTATGAATGCAATCGTTCATGACTGTATTTGCGTGTGTACGTATGTGTGTGCGTACGAAAGAGTGTATGCATATGTATCTACATGTTTGTATGTATGGATTTATGTATGCATGCATGCATGCATGTGTTTGTGTATGTAGGTATGTACGTATGTCTATATCGTTGTATGCATGCCTGTATTTATGTATGTACGTAGGTATGTGTATGATGGAGGTCGGTAGGTGGGTAGATAGGTCGGCACGTAGGTAGGTATGTGTGAATGTACGAATGTATGTATGCATGCATGCATGTATGTCTGTATGTATACATGTAGGCCTGCATGTATGTATAGATGTACAGATCCTCGTGGGTGCTTGGACATATGCGCATGAGGGAATTACGACGCCCAGACGCCCCTGGTGTGAGAGAACTGCTTCGCCTGGGCCTCGCGGCCTGGACCCAGACCACCGCCCTTTGCGGCACTTCTCCGGCCGGATCGATCCGAGAGGGCCCCGGGGCCCGCACCCGGGCAAAAGTTCCCTGGCGTGAGGTAGTTGCGACGCCCCGACCTCGGGGCCCTCCCCTCCGCCCCCACATCCGCCGACGCTGCCTCGTGAGCGGGGCGCCCGCCGCCCCCGCCCCCGAGTGGCCACCGCCAGCGTCCGGGGATGGCGCAGCCGCGGGCGTTCGCTCGCCTGCTGGCGAGCGCGGGGCGCGGCGGCGCCCGAGCGGCGGCCGTGCATCGGGCCACGGGAAGTCTCGTTTGGCACGCCCACCGCCCCTGGCCAGGCCCACCCTGGGCCAAGGAGCGGTGCGGGGTGCCCCCCCTGCGGAGGGGGGCGTGCGCAGTGCACCGCCGTCGGGCCCAGGGCGGGCACGGCCAGGCGCGGCGGACGCGCATGGATCTCGCCGCCCTCTTGGAGGCCAGCCCCTGCCTGCCCAGTGCCGCCGCTGTGGCTCGCCGGGCCGCCGCGGCGGCCGCGGCACCGCCCGGCGGCGAGCGCGCAGACGCCGCCGGGGCCGCGCCCGAGCCGGCGGATTGGCGGCAGGGCCTGGAGCGGTGGCCGGCGACCCGAAGATGGGCCCCCGATCGAGAGAGCCAAAAGTGGCACGGAAAGGGTGGGCAGATCTTGTCCCTGATTCGCGGTCGGCGTCGCCACGGGTGGTGTCGATTTGAGGCAGAACGCCGCCTGCCCACAGTTGGTGTCGATTGGAGACAGAAGTCCGCTCGCCCCACAGCGGGCGCTGTTGGTTCTGGGCAGCATCTCCGGGCCCATGTGTGGCCGTGTCCACTTCGGGAGTGCGTGCCCGAGAGGCGGGGGCACGACGGGCGAGACGGCGGTCCACGCGGAGCTTGACACTGTGCCGGGCCGCCTCCCCGCAGGAGCCTGGAGCCTCTCGGCTGCAGCTGTGGCCAGAGCACCGATCTCGACGCCCTCGTGGTGGCAGGCCCCTGCAGCTGACTACTCTGGGTCAGCTACGTGCGCCCAAGAGATCCGCACCCGGCTTCGGTTTTCAGCTCCGAGTGCAGGCCGACCGACCAAACGACACGGCACAGCAGTTTGCAGTACTCGAGTGCCGAGGTGGGAGCGCGGCCGCGCGGAGTGGCTGGGCTGGGGCCGCTCGGGCGGCGCGGGCTTACCCGGCGCCCTCCGTGGAGCCGCGCCCGCGGAGCCACGCGGGCGGCGCAGCCGCAAAGGCTTGGCGGCGCACAAGCGGGCGGACCCCAGGCCCCCCAAAGTCAGAGCAGGTCGGGTTCAGACAGCGGCAGTTGGCCTGTGAGCGGCCCCCCTCGTCGCCATGGCTGCGTGCAGCTGGGAGAGCTGGTGCGCTGGGACCCCGGGGGAGGGGTCCGGAGGCAGGTTCTTAATTGCCGTTGGCTCAACCCGCCCTCCTCGGACAAAAAGGGGCCCGAGCAGATGGGGCGGGAGTCGCCGATGCCTCGCCGGTGCGGCCCGATGCGGAGCCCGATGTTCTCCACGCCGACGGCGCCGATGCACCGACGATGCATCGGCGGTGCGGCGCGATCTTGCGACCACATCCACTCGAATTCCCATTTGGGAGGCCTCAACGGGCGAATCAACCTTTCCGCCGTCCAGGGCGCCTGTCACCTGTCCCACGGTGGCTGGCGAGCTCACACTTCTGCGGCGGGCGGTGTCCAGCCGCTCTGCGACAGGTGGCCCCAACGGCGGCACATGCTGTGTGACACCGTTCTTCGCCCACGGAACACGGGGGTGGGGCGAGGGAGGGGGAGGGGGAGGGGGATAAGAAGGAGGAGGAGGAGGAGGAGGAGGAGGAGGAGGAGGAGGACGAGGGGGAGGAGGAGGAGGGGGAGGAGAGGGAGGAGGGGGAGGAGAGGGAGGAGGGGGAGGAGAGGGAGGAGGGGGATGAGGGAGGACGAGTTGCCTCTCAGGAGCGGGGGCTTGCAAGAACGTCTGGGTGGAGGCGGGAGGGCCTCCAAAGAGCCCCTCCTTTTTTGTTGCCCTTCCAGACGGTCACCCGCCGTCCCGGGTCCCACCCCCTCTCCTTGCGAACCGCCAGAAGGCTCTGGAAGCGGGCGCCGGCGAGTGCTGGGCGAGCGGCCGACGGATCCACAAAGGGCTGCGCCGGATGAGGATAAATCCCAGACATCGGGCGTCTCGAAAAGATCGAGGCGCAGGTTTTTCGCAGTTTCTGCCCTCTCGGGGCCCTCGCCGGGCCTCGGGGCCGTCAAAAAACGACTCGGGATGAAAAACCGGTCCTGGGGAAGTGGTCGGGAGGTCGGGGGCCCGCGTCTCGAAACAATCGAGACGTCGGATGTCTGGGATCGTTTCTGGGCGGTCTACCATGCCACGCGCTCAGGGCGTCCCAGGGGCCTCTGGAACGGTAGCGGAGCCCCAGAAATCTCGGGCGTTGGTGTCCAAAGAGCCCCGGCGCAAGGTGCCCCCAGGATCTCCAGGGAGGCACCCATTGTCTCCATAGTTGCCCTCACGAGGCCCAGAGGGCGCCAGGGGCCCAAACCTACAGGGAACCGCTCGGGGACCTTGGACTTTTTGTCCAGGACCACCTTTTGCAACACCTGGTGCCTCCAAGCCCGCTAAGTCGTGGAGGCTCCCAGTAAGGGTAGGCGATTAAAGAACGTACCCCCCTGGTCTGGGTGGGGCCCTTCCTATTGTGCAGTGCAAGCTAAGAATTTCCTCCCATGTTTTCTTAATGTTGCCCCCTCCCAGCTGATGTTTGTCGGACGTCACGTTGGATTTGATTTCGTAATCAGTTATCCCCCTCCCACAGTCTCCCCTCTTCCGTGCTTTTGTTTCGAGGATTCCATATATCCCCTGTGGATTCCTCATATGAGGAGGAGGCGGGAGGGGGACGTTAACCAGGATATATTTGAACCTGCTGTGAACTCTTAAAACGATTTTGTGTGGCGCTGACGCGAGAGTCACATTCTGAAAAGGAGCACCGCTTTCCACCCGCGAAATTCTTGCACGTCCTGACGAATGCGCGCGATGCTTGGCCGAGAGCCACCTTTAAACAAAACTTGCCGACCTCCATCCCAGCATTTGCTTTGGGAGGCGAGTGTGAATGGCGCCGAGGCGAGAACCACATTTTGAAAACGGCCCGCCCTCCATCCGAGACTCCGTTGGAAATTCTCAGCTTGATGATTAGAAGTGGTGGAGGGAGTCTGAGGCGAATCGCCTGTCCAGCCCTCCCGACGCGACTCGTGGTCGACAGGAGGAGTTATTCACAAGGAGTAAGGAATGGGGGGGAGGGAGAAGGAGGAGGAGGAGAATAATCAACGATCACACGATCTCTGTCCCTACAACGTCACAAAGGAGGAGGATAAGTGTAAACCCAATATTCTCTTCCATGTTCACACTTCACAGGTCCCGATGAGGAATCATGCACGCTGAGGGAAGTGCCCCGTTGGAAGAGAATCTTTTGACAATCTTGAGCTCTGGCACCACTTATGGGAATACAACGCTGCGAATGACGATTGCTGTTGCGTCGTGATGGTCTTGATTCGCTCCAGGTTTAGCATTGGTACTGCTGTGTTCTCTACTACTGCATTACAGTGCCCCTCACGCGCGTTCACAGGGAGTTCTGTCTTGCTCACAGTTGAAAAGTATCAGTGTTGCTTGGAAGTTAATGTGGAACCCTAGCGGTGACCGGTTTGATTTCCAAGTGGGCATGGGTTCTGGTGTTCGGCCGCGTGGGGACGTCCGGAGTGTTCACGTTGAAACTGTCGTTGCGTTGGCTGGGGAAGCAGCGGTGGCCGATTGGATTTCCAAGTTAGCCTGTGCTGTCGCATGGCAACCACGCGGTGCAGCACGACGCGCGTACGTGCGTGCGGGTGGCGAGTTCTGTGGTGTCCACACTAGAAAAGTCGCCGTGCTCGCCTGGGAGCAAATAGTGAACCGCTAGCGGATTTCCGGGTAACATGCGATCTTGCATGTTGAACATCGGGTGCAGCGCCCAGAGGGCGCGGGCGGGTGACTAGTTTCAGAGCGTTCACATTCGAATAGTTTCCATGCTGACCTGGAAACTAAAGCGGGCCTTTCACGGTCACCGATTGGATTTCCAAGTTTTCCCACGGTTGTCATTGATCGATCGGAACGTGCAGTGCACGACGCGTGATGGTGGAGAGGTCTGTAGTGGTCACATTAAAGCAGTCGTTCTGTTGGCCTGGAAGATAAAGTGATCCCTCAACGGGTCAGCGATCTCAGCTCCAAGGAAAGATGAGGACGACGCGCGCGCGCGGGTGGCGAGCTCTGTAGTGCGATCATCCGGAAAATTGTCGCGTTGGCCTGGGAACCAAGTTGATCCTGTAGCGCTGATCGATTCGTTTTCCTCGCTAACCATTGTTTGTTTCGGCTAGGCCCAGCGGTGCAGTGCGCGACGCGGGTAAGCCCGGCGGGTGAGCCCGGCGGGTGGCGACATCCGCAATGTTCACACTAGAAGCGTCGTCATGCTGGCAGGCGCAGGGAGAGGGGAGGGATGGCTGAAGGGGGGGGAAACGAGGGGGGGGCGGAGGGGAGGAGGAGGACAAGGAGGGAGGGAGAGGGTGAAGAGGAGGAGCCCGCAGCGGCCACCTCCTCGTCGTCGTCCTCGTCGCCGTCGGCGCCACATTCGTTCACACGGGCAGCCGAGGACGAGGAAGAGGACGAGGACGAAGACGACGACGACGAAAACGACGACGACGACGACGACAAACACGACGAACACGACGACGAAACGACGACGAGGGCACCGCCGCCGCGGGCTCTTACCAAAACAGTTGTTTCAATCGTCCTCCCGTCTGCGGCGCCATCCTCGCGGCGCCCTGGGCGCCCTCGGAGGAGCTTCGGGGGGAGGCAGGGGGAGGGAGGCGGAATTGTCGGCACTCGGCACCACCTCGATCACCACGCTGAGTCGTCGGCCCGCGACGCCTCCCCCGCCCGAGGGCGCCTTGGAGAGTTCTGGGCGGGCCGCGGGGTCGCCATGAGGGGACCGTCGACCAGTCCGAATATCGCCAGCCCCGCCGCTCCAGGCTGGCAGCCCTCGGGCCCCCCACCCCTGGCCTCCAAGACGGCCGGGGGGCCGTGCCGAGCTGTCCGGCCTCCGTGGGCCGAGCTCGCTTGCTCCCAGTCATCGGGGCCGCGGGGCCTGCGGAACTAGTTGTTTCATCGTCACCATCGTGGCCCCAATCATGTATCATTTCCATACACCAATAATCAACACAAGTATTTTCTCAGTCATCTACCCACACCAACGAGGCCCATCGTCCTGCTCTGGTCCTCAGCTCGGTGGGTGGACGGGCTTGTGGGCCACATTGGGTTCAGGGAGGGCTCTGGTACCCGGGCCGTCCCATCAATCGAGGCCGGGGAGCGTATTCGCGTCGGGGGCGCTTTTTTGGCTGGGCGCGTCTGCCCCCTGCGCTCCCTGTGCAGCATCCCTCGCGGCAGCACCTTGGCCGTGCATCCTCCAGGCCTGCCAGGTCTCATAGGCCCTCGATCTGCCCCGATCTGGTCGGGCCCTCGCCCAGGGTCGGAGGAGGAGGAGGAGGAGGAGGAGGAGGAGGAGGAGGAGGAGGGGGAGGAGGAGGAGGAGGAGGAGGAGGAGGAGGAGGAGGAGGAGGAGGAGGGAGGAAGGGGAGGAGGAGGTGGAGGAGGAGGATGAGGAGGAGGAGGGAGGGAGGAGGAGGGAGGAGGGAGGAGGGAGCAGGAGGAGGAGGAGGAGGAGGAGGAGGAGGAGGGGGAGGGGGAGGGGGAGGAGAGGAGGAGGAGGAGGAGGAGGAGGAGAAGGGACGATGATGATGATGATGATGATGATGATGATGATGATGATGATGATGATGATGATGATGATGATGATGATGATGATGATGATGATGATGATGATGATGATGATGATGATGATGATGATGATGATGATGATGATGATGATGATGATGATGATGATGATGATGAGGATGAGGATGATGACGATGATGATGATAATGATGCTGATGATGATGAGGAGGAGGAGGAGGAGGAGGAGGAGGAGGACCAGCACGCATCCTGAAAGGGGGTTCCGCCGTCTTGGCTGCAATCGCGCGGAGGCGCGGGGCGCGCCTGGAAGAACTGGTTGGCGAGATCGGGCCGCGCGCAGGGGGGGTCACTCTCCCTCCCGCGCACGCTCCCCGCTCGAGCCCTACCTACCCTCTTCCTCTCCTCCTGCTGCTCCTGGGCTAAATCTGCCAGGAGCTGGGCCCGGGGGATGAAGGGGCGAAGCTGCACCCTGGGCTTCTTGGGGTGCCTTCCTCGACAACTCATTCCATGCATACTTGGATCCACGCTTCCTTCTGGGCGTCCGAAAAGCGCCTATGACTAATTACGTGGATTCGAGACCGCATAAGCTACACAAGTCTGACAAGCAATGATGAAGCTTTCGCCTGTCTCAAAATCGGCCACTACCGTGTGGCCGTGACTGTCAGCAGCGAGGGCTTGAGCAGGGTAAATGCCAGTGCACTTCTCTTTGAGCCTGGCTTCTTTCCTCGCCTCAGAAAATGCCCTCCTCTTGCACAGGTTGCAAACCCATCCCCCAAGGCTCCAAGTCCAATCATGCACCAAACGACCCCCTGACACCACAGGGGGGCGGGGAGGAGGGGGCACAAGATTGGAGCCAGGGGCGGACGCAGCCCCAACAGGGGAGTTATTCGACTTGTTAGGTTTGGCCAATGCTTTGCCCCCAGGCTTAGAAGCAACAGGAGACCACTTTAGCCAGGCCTTACAAGCATAGTGTTGAAATCGCAGTAATAACTTGAAACGCGATTATGTCTGTTGACTGTCGGCAGGGGGGGTTGCTTGGCCGCCCACTTCGCCAACCGATCGGCCTAGGCGTTTCCCGAAGCCTGCCGCCATTCCTCTGTGTGTGGCTCTAACTCGGAGAGCTCCTGTTGCGACTTGACTTTAATCAGGTCGATGTCCCGACTCCAGCCAGCACAATCTTTAATGAGCAATTTGAGGCCAGCATAAATCCTTTAGGGGACAGACCTGGGGCGTGCAGCCTGCATGTGCCAGTGCAGTCGACAGTCAAGGCCGAGATTTTAGTTCCGAATTTGACCGCGGCGTATGCAGCTAAGAATTCTGCCGAGGGTGAGGTCTGAGGCAAAGCTCTACCAACAGGGCCCGCTAACGCAGCTATGGCTTCACCCGTGGCAGGGTCAATGACTTCAACAGGCCATCCCGCTCGGTGATAACACTTAGGGCCGACTTTAAAACACGATCCGTCTGGGTAAAAATTGACTTGCAGGGCTTGGGCTAGAGTGGTGTTCGGGTCCAACGCTCACAAGGTCGCTGGGGCATCGACGTCAAACTTAACCTTGACGTCCAGACCCGCCTGAAGATGAGTCCAGCTCGCATTCTTGAGAGCATCGATATTTTCAAAGCTGAAATGCTCAGCTCGCTCGGCCGCCGAAAGGACGCATTCAAACTGACTGTGATACATGCTGTCATGCTCGTGCCCGCACGGGCATTTGCAGTCCACCTCATAACCCGCCTCTCGATGACCAATCTTGGTCCATATACTCCGGGAGAGAAGGCGAGGAGGATGGAACGCTCCCGGGGGATGAGAAGGGGAGTTGAGGACGGGGCAGCAGAAACGCAGACCTGATCCCCCACCCACCCCAGTCGCTCGCTCGCTCGAGGAACTCCGCTTTCGGGGCCGTTCTCTCCTCCCCGCCCTGCCGTCGATGGACGGGCCGCCGGACGAGATCGGGCTCGGGAGGGGCTCTGGTGCTCGGGCCGTGCCCTCGTTGCCGCCCTGCCTGCGCCCCACCCAGACCTCCGACGTCATGATATGCTCATGACGCGACCCCCAGAGGTCCAGACCCATTCCCCGGGACTGGTTTTTCATCCCGAGTCGTTTTTTGACGGTCCTGAGGGCCGGTAGGGGCCCCCGGAGGCCGAAAATAGCGGAACATTTCCCGTCGTGATTTTTTCATGGCTCGAGGGGGGCCTGGGCAGGTCCATGGAGGGGCTGCTGGAGGGCAGCGGCCTGCTCGGCGAGCGCGGCTACCTGCGCGTGCCCCTGGCCGCCGTGGTGCGGGGCTGCGAGCGGCGCTGGGCGGAGGCGGCGGGCGCCGCGGGGCCGCTGCGAGGCGCGGGCGCGCGCCCGGGGCCCTGACGCGCCCGCCCGCAGGCGGGCGGTGCGGGCAGGGCCCACGGGCTCCGCGCACGAGCGGCGACCCGCAGGCGCAGCTTGTGGTGGGCCTGCTCTCCACCACCACCACCACCACAAGCAGGAGGGAGAAGGGGGTCCCCCTCCTCCCTCCTCTTCTTCCTCCTCCTCGTCCTCCGCCTCCTTCCCCCTCCAACTTTCGGGTGGTGGTGGTGGTGGTGGAAGACAGGCCCCTCATCCTTGGATGCAGCTCCTGGGAGGCGACCCGCAGGCAGGCTTTGCGGGCAAGACCACGGGTTCGGCTTCGGAGCGGCGACCAGCATGCGCATCTGCGGGTGCACTTCCTGGGAGGTTTGAAATTCGAAGGCCGTGCTGGCACCTCCTGGGTCGATAACTCACGGAATGTGGCGGAATCCCGTTTCATATGGTTTAGTCCCCGTCAGTCCAGTTTCATCTCGCTTAGTCTGGCTTGCTCCCGGGCTTATTTAATCGCTTCGCTCATTCCGCCGGCCCATACGGTCTCATGTCTGCCGTTTGCCCGAGGGCCTGGTGTCAATGCGGCGCTTTGGGGGTTCCTGGGGCCGCTTGGGGGACTCCTGGGGCGCTCGGGGGGGCATTTGGGGGGCCTCCTGGGGCCGCTTGGGGGACTCTTGGGGGCCTCCTGAGGGCCTCGTGGGGGCCTTTTTGGGGCCTCGTAGGGGCTTCTTAGGGCCGAGGGCTCGAAATTTTGTTTCGTGTTCCCTCTCTGGGGCCCCTTTGGGGGTGTTCTTGGGGCCCTCTTGGACCGTCTTGGAGGCTTCTTGGGCCGTCTTCGAGCCCTCTTGGGCCATCTTGGGGCCCTCTTGGGGGCCTCTTGGGCCCTCTTGGGGCGATCTTGGGGGCCTCTGGGGCCGTCTTGGGGCGTCGGGAACCGAAAAGGTGGAAGCTCCAAAATCTCTCAAAAACCTAAGGAAAAACAATGAATTTTGCCTCCGGGGGCCCTCTTGGGAGTGCTCTTGGAGGCCTCTTGGGGCGTCTGGGGGCTATCTTGGGCGTCTTGGAGCGATCTTGTGGCATGTCGGACCCCTCGTGTACCATCTTGGGGGCCTCTTGGGGGCCTCTTGGCCTTTCTTGGGGCTCTCGGGGACGTCTCGGAGCCCTGTTGGTGCGCTCATGGAGCGCTCCTGGAGCGCTCTGGGGGACTCCTCCCGGGACTCTCTCAGGACCTTGCCGGGGTACTTTTCGTCCGTGGACCCCCAGGGGCCGCCCCGCGCGCGCGAACTAGAGAATTGTTAACCAGTTACCGGAGATCTTAGCACGCCTCTGGCCCGTTGGGCCGGCGAATTCTGGCCTTGTCCAGCTCCATGGCCTTTTCATCGGGCTCGAGAGCCCTGACCCGTCCTGCTCTGCCGAAGAGCTTCCAGGAGTTGCTTCCTAACACGGCCACGCCCTCGCGGTCCGGATTCCTAGGCGGGACGCGGTCGCGTGGATGCTCTCCAGGCGGGAATCCGCAAACAAAAACGCTACTCACCCTCTGGGCCGCGGCCGAGGAGCTGGGCCTCCGAGGCCTGAATCTAAACGATGTGTTTCGTTTTCGTTGTGTGTTCGTTTTCCTTCGTTATGTCTTCAGTCCGCCTTTCTACCGCAGAACGAAGGCGAAGCGAAAGCGGCCCACGAGATCGCACGAACACCGCTTAGGCCGAGGCTCTGAATAGATGGAGACGTGTCCCGCCCACGAGGAGCAGCCCGCCGCCGCCTCCTCTTGCGCTCGTTGTCCAGCCCAGACCCTTTCTTCGAGAAGGAGATCGTCTACAGAGTTAATTGTCGGTATAGGTTAACCGTTTAACCAGTCCCCATCCCCATCCCCGTCCCCTTCAAGACCCCCACCAAATTTCCACCCCAGTTGGGGATACACCCCTCGAAACCCGAAGGTAACGACCCATATCCCAATCTAGGAGGGTAAGTCGGCCAGTGGGGCCCAGGCCACCCCGCTGGGGATGGAGATCGGTTAAACGATATTCAAATTGATTCTTAGGCTTACGCCACACCGCCGACCCCTTGTTTATGCCAATCTGGGGGTAGTAGAAGCTGCGAAGGGGTGAAAAGGCGAGTGATATTTCAAGCGAAACAACCCAGTTGTGTGCGCGAAGTGTTTTAAAGCGGGACGAGCGCCGCGGAGAGACCCTCCGAAACGCCCGGCGGAACCAAGTGACGAGCATTGCGACAAGGCACGGAAGTTGCGAGGAATCTGACCGCTGGGGACGGGATGGATAAGGCCCGCGTTTACAGACGTGAGCCATTTATCGGACAGTCAGAAAGAACATTACAGGAGAACGGGCCAAACGCATCGCCCGGTCATGTGCCGCGCGTGCCACGAAAAATCGGAGGCCCAGATTTTCCGTTGTGGAGCATGCCCGACGGGGGCGGATGGGAAGGCGCCCGCGTTCACAGACTTGAGCCATTTGTCCGATAACCAGAAAGTACATTATAGGAAGACGGGCCAGGCGCATCGCCCAGTCGTGTGCCGCGCGTGTCACGATGCGCGCACGGGGGCGAAAAAGTTTGAATGCTCCGCGTGCCCACCGAACGGGGACGGGAAGAAACCAGCGTTTTCAGACGGGGGCCATTTGTCGAAAGACCAGAAGAAGAATTATTTCAAGCGAAACAACCCAGTTGTGTGCGCGAAGTGTTTTAAAGCGGGACGAGCGCCGCGGAGAGACCCTCCGAAACGCCCGGCGGAACCAAGTGACGAGCATTGCGACAAGGCACGGAAGTTGCGAGGAATCTGACCGCTGGGGACGGGATGGATAAGGGGGACGTGGAGGAGGGAGGATGGGGGAGCAGCCAAAGGCGGAGAAGGTGAAAAGTGAGCCAGTGGAGGGAATACGAGACAGAAAGCTGAGAGGGGAGACGGGAGGAGGGGGCGGAAGAGGAGGATGAGAAGGAGCAGGAGAACACGACGAGGACGACAATGGCGGCGACAGACTCGACGGCGTAGGCTGGGCACCTTTTTGGGGCCATCTTGGGGGCTTCGTTGACCGTTGTGGGAGCCTCTGGCGCCGTCGTCGTGAGAATCCTCTCGGGGGCCTGCGGGAGGCAGTTTGGAGGCTTCTGGGGAGCTGTTTTGGGGCAGCTTGGGGCTTTTTTTGGGCTTGTTGGGGGCCTCTTGGGGGCTTCTTGGAGCCTCTTGGAGGCCTCTTGGGGCCTCCTTGGCGCCTTTTGGGGCGGAAGGCTAGAATTTTAGGTTCGTGGTCCCCGTCTGGAGCCTTTCTTGGGCCCCTCTGTGGGCCCTCTTGGACTGTCTGAAGGCCCTCTTGAGCCGTTTTGAGGCGCTCTTGGGCCGTGTTGGGGCCCACTTGGGAGCCTCTCGGGTCGTCTTGATGCCGTCTTGGGGGCTTCTTTCGCCGTCTTGGAGCGTCGGAAGCCCGAAAAAACGCGAAGGCCAAAAACGTTGAAAAAACCAATGGAAATCGACGATTTTGGCCTCTTGGGGCCATCTTGGGAGGCGTCTTGGAAGCTTCTTGGGGCGTCTTGGAGGCATCTGGGGCCATCTGGAGGCCATCTTGACCGTCTTCGAGTGTTTTTTCGGCGACTCGGGGCCCTCTTGGACCGTCTGCAGAGCTTCTTGGGAGCCTCTTCGCTCGTTTGCGGCCCCCCCAGCAGACTCTCTGGAGCGGATGACCCCCCCCGGACCGCGCCGGCGGATCCCGGGGAATCCGGCCGGACCCCCCCCCCCCCCTCCAAAACGACCGGACCAGGCTCCGGGGGGAGGGGTTTGGGGAGGGGGGAAGCATCTCACACGCCGATGACCCCAAGGGGTCGGCGGACTCTGAAATTATATTTCCCGTCGATATGCGAAACAAAAGCAGAAGATTGTCCAGTAGGAATCTGCAAGTTTTCTGCGTACTTGTTCGTCGACCCGACGAGCAAAACCAAGTTTGGGGTACATCAGTTCATGCAGTCGATCTCCTACTCGATTTCTGGTTGTCGAACAATGAGAGGCGGACAGCTGCTCCTGATTTTCGGCCTCCGGGGGGTCCTTGCCGGGCCCTCGGGCCCCGAAAAAGCACCATTCGCTATGAAAAGCCACCCCCAGGGAGCAGCTTGACACCTCTGGAGGTCCACCGACCACCTCGTCCTTGGCGACCTAGAGCCTAGGGACTTCGATGCCGGGCCCAGGGCGCGCTTGCGTCGATGGGTGTAGCACGGCCCGCGGGCATGGCCAAAAGGTTTCTCGTCGACGACCTCTTTCGCCCTCCTCCAGCTCCTCCGCCTCTTCCTCCTCTTCCTTTTGTTTTCTCTCCACCTCCTCCTCCTCCTCCTTCTCCTCCGCCTTCTCCTCCTGCTCCTCCTCCTCCTCCTCCTCATCATCATCATCATCATCATCATCCTGCTTCCTCTCCCGTCATGTACTTGCACTCCTGCTCCCTCTCGCATGGGGGACTGTCTCTCCTCTCCCTCTCCTCCTGAGCCTCCCTCTCCTCCGCCTCCTCATTACCCCCTTATCGTACGTCTCAGCCCCTCCCGAGTGGTTCTATTCAGAATGCTCCTCATGCTTCTCCTCGTCCTCCTCCTCGGCCTGCTGCTGCTGCTGCCGCTTCTCATTCTCATCCGTGTCGTTTCCTCAACATGCCCCAAGCTTCCCGCGCCACTCCCTGTGCCTTACCCACATTCTTATCTTTGTCCTGCTTTCCTCTTGCTGCCCCTCCTGTTCCGTCTTTTCCTCCTCCTCCTGCTCCTCCTCCTTCGCTGACCCAAGACCATGCCTCTGGATGGTACGCTTTCCCCCCACGGCGAGGGGGGACAGCTGTATGATCCCTCCAGTTCAGGAAGTGTGTTTGCCGGGTCGGGAGGATGGGGCTGTGAGAAATGATCAGGTCGTCCGTATTATGGCGTGTGTTGAGTGTGTGTGTTTTTACACAGCCGCGCCCTGTGTCTTCTCAACCCCTTTCCACCAACAAAACAGTTGTCTTCCTTGCCAGTGGCGGATCTTCTCCCACACTGCTGGGTGGGATGGCGTGTTGATG